TCCAGCACAGTGCACTACAGTGCAGCCCGCCAATACAATACTTATTACAAGGACGCTGAGCTCGGAGTGAAACACCTCACTTCAGACCGAAAGCGAACCCGCACCTCTTCACCAGGGCATTTTTCGCCCTTGCTTTTGATTTACCCTTGAAATAATCCATTTTGAATATACCGTCGAAAGTTAAGTTGGAGGCACGGGTTCTGGACTAGGTTGGCTTGGTTCTCGCACGGAAAAATGAAAGAATCGGTACAAATTGGCCAGCGATAAAGGGAAAAGGAAAAGAATTTATCGAAAACGCTGAAGTTTAGGGTTTGGTGCCAACAAGAGGAGGCGGGAGACTGAGCACGGAGGGCCACGTGGGACCGTGTGACATGATGTCATGTCACAGTCTTTTTTAAGCTGGTTTTCAAACATTTTAGGTAACTTATTTACGTGATGTATGCGCCATACTTAGGCATTGTTACAAAAGGTGTGGTCCCTGGAAAGAAGCTTCGGTTGATGGGCTATCGAGTTTTTCTAAAAATGTTTGAATAATGATCAAATCACAGGAATCGCTAAAATGGCCAAAATCGCATAATCGGAGACCTACCACACAAGAAAGATAACAAATACACATTTCCTGAGTCTTACTTTGCAAGGCCCTAGCGCTCTTGTCGGTGATTTCCGTGCACGGGAACGCCACATCTGTGATTGTCCTCTAGGGTCTATCTGACAACCAAGGGAACCGTTCACACGACTTCTGCCTGGGTGGCGCCTTTAAGTTTAATTGAAATGAAACCATCCCAAAAAACTTTACTCGATGATGCTGCGGGTAACAAGCCATCCCTAAGATCTATGAAAAACCCGTACTTCCCGAGCACCAACAAAGGAACAAAGCTACTCATACAAAGAAAGCATGATGCACAAATTCATGTCAGAAATTGCCCATTTACAGAGAGATCGGGTTCAAGAGAGCAGGCCGGGTCTGGGAGTTACATGGGTTGCTGCCATAGACACACGTTAGGGGATTCGCTTCTGAACCTACTCACTCGGAAACGAATGGAGCAGCCAAGTTGGAAGAATGAGAGTTACAATGCTCTTCCAGTATATTATTTTACTGTTTACTGAATAAATAACGTGGACAAAATCACCAAGTCAAAATAAAGCGACATAACAGCAGAAAGCATGCCAAACAAAACGCGCGCAATATTTGGAATCATGAATGCATAGGGGGCGAGGAAGGTGTCGAACACACATGAATAATCCCACATTAATTTAGGCTTACTAGGCAGGTGTCGAGGGCGTGTTTTTGACAACGAGGAGCGAATTTCCATTTTCCGGCATGATCGCCTATCGATTTGAACGTTTGTACAGCCGTCGATCAACACCACTCCCCAGCTCTTCACTGGAGATTTCAATTGTGACATCATCGACAAAGTCACAGATTCCAATTTATCGGGTTACGAAACCCGTCAAGTAAACGGGCATACGTGCAAGCATGAAGCATGAAAAGAATAGGGTGTTCAGCGCTGAGCCATCGTTTTTACTGGTGCGCCACGCTTTTTACAGTACTTCCAATGGATCGTTTAAGCATTCATGGACATGGAATGGGATTTGGACATTATAATGACATGAAAGCCGGCCGATGGACATGTCGATGTTTTAATCCTCCTAGACCAATTGACCGATTCCAAAGGGTGGAACACTTGCGTGGCTTTGGTAGAGTCGATCCAAAGTTCGATCCCTTGACCGTTCAGCACGTGAAAATCGGCACCGCTCCCCAACGCATCCGCCCTAGGGCTGACTGTCAGCCTCTTCACAGAATATAAGGTCCAGCCATCGTGACGCCGCCTTATAGGATCCGTAGCAGGACCGTTCTGGCGGTGGTTGTGTCAGATGGACCTACTGACACTCTGAATATGTTGAATGCGAATAGATTTTGTCAACTGGACTGCAATGTTTATCAGTAAATCTGGCATTGAATCACACCGTTCATTCTACCTGATAAAGCCACAAGTAAAATGATATCTTTAGGAATTTGTGAGTCGCAAAAAAAGTTGATGAGTGAGTCTCTTCTATGATGTGCCACGCCTCCAACTTCTATTCGAAATTCTTTCAACTGTCGAAGATCAAGTAGGCTGACGCACTTGCCAAATTCAACGAAGATCAGGTGGCTCGGACGTGGATGCGATTTTGTGATGACCTCGCCTAGAGCGGTTACCGATTGAATCTCTCGGAAACTTTAGGCAAACACCAGGGATGATCACCGGCCTGATATGGTAAACTTCTTCATAGGAGCTCTGAAGAAAGAATGAATGGCTTCGTGTCCCTCAGCGAGAGTCCCACTGGAGCAGTGTGGAACACTGTGCTACTACGATGCTGCTCGCCACTCTGGAGTTCCATGGACGACAGGTGATACAGATGGCAATGGAACGAGGCTGGCCGACGCAAGAATCAGAGCTCTGTCGGGCCAGGCGAGTATGCTACTTGTCAAATAGTAAGAGGTAGCAAACTCACGCCGCAGAGCCACGACGGGTTTTTCAGATTGTTTTGTTTTGCCTATAGGTGAGTCGACTCATTACGTGAAAATGACAAGCTATATGCGGTATAAATACAGCAGTGAAGCTCAGAGATTGCAACATGTCGCCTTTATAGCGCAGTGACCGGCAGGTATAACAGAAGACCACTGATCATGAGTATATGACTGTCGCAGATGTCGATGTTTTTTTTGCTACGTTACCATCAGGGCGACAAGGGGAGTCAGCGCTTCAGAGCAACTATAAAATCACACCCGTCACTCATCGAGCTTATACTTAGATACTTTAGATACTTAGACGACCCGTTGATCAGCACGGCGGTTGGCCTTGCGCGGGTCCCAACTTCTTTTCCATTGCTCGCGGTCTTGGGCTTTCGTTGTCCAGTGTACGGCCACCTTAAGGGACACAGGATCATACACGTTGTTTCTGTATGCCAAAGAGTCTGCCCAACGTAAAGGAGGGCGGCCAAGTGGCCGTTTCTTCTCGCGCGGATACCATTGAGCAGTCTTCGAGCTCCAACGTCCATCGTTTCTTCTGATCAAATGCCCAGCAAATCGGTGCTTCGCTTCATTGACGTGAACCAAAACGTCCTTAATCTTCGACATAGCTCTGACGTCAGAATTGTGCAGGCTCAGTTCTCGTTGACGGCTCAGCGTTAGGCCTATCAGACGACGTTCAATTGATGCCTGAGCGGATTGAAGCCTCTTTTCTAGCGATTTTGTTAAGGCCCAGGTTTCTCATCGAGCTTATGAGCGGCTAAACCCGCGCTCCAATGGTATCTGCTTGACAACTCGGAGGTACGTTCGTAACATTGCGGTTCCTACCACATGCTGTTAAATGCTTATTCGTAGAGGTTGCTAAACCCATAAAAACCATGTCACCCTCACCAGTCAATTGTGTATGGAACCCGATTGAGTAGGCACGGGTACTTGGGTTGAGCACTGGTAAAACTTTCATTGTTTATCGAGACGGGGTAGTCTCATGGGTGGTGGAAGATGAAGGTCAACAATTTGGATGCTTGGATATTGAGCGAGATTACATCCAAGTTACTCCACAGTCGTCAGTTTGGATGCTATGCTTTTTGTCCGTCACAGAAGCCGGAGTGCTGACGGGTAAAGATCTGTGACGTGGAGCCAATCAGGGGTGGAGCGGAGGGATGGAGCGGAATTTCGTAGGGCTTTGTTGAGTGGGTTCGATAGTGCCGCGATAAACGCTTCACTCATTGTCTGCTTCTGGCTTAGCCTCCTTCAGCAACTGTCAGTTACCCTGGACGCAGAGCCAAATTACCATACCCATTTCTTTGTAGCATAAATTTCCTACCATCAAGTTAAATGTTGCCTCATTCTCTCTAAAGGCAAAAAAAAACGATGGCTGGAAGGCGGAGCGGTTTTGATGACGCCATTGAGCGTCATTGGTGGAAGAGCGTTGGGAGGTGCTCCCAGTTACCTCAGCGACCTGTGGGGCCTGATCCACCAATGATGTCTATGACGTCGTCGAGACAGCTCCACCTTCCAGCCATCGTGCTCACTGCTGTGAAGTTTAGCAGCCTCAAGAGTCTGAAGATCCTGGTGAATGACTTGAATCATCAAAGCGGTCAAATAATTGTGTAAGAGTCGAATAAAAAGGGTAGGGCATAAAAATGCGTTAAAATATTGATTGAGGTATTGAAACGGTGAGGCGAAAATTTGAAACGAATGAGCGACGTGAGCGACAGCGGTGCTTCAGTGTTTGCCATCACTTGTTCGTACATTTATTGACCGAGTTCTCGCTCGTGGATATGGCTGGCAGTCGTTGAGCACACACACGCATGCAGAACGGGCGAAGGGTCACAGATGAACACGGGTGTTTGGCGGGCGGGTGGCATTTTTCAACTAAACACACTTCATGCTGGATTATTTTGCTCGTTAAGCGGGCACTCCCTACTACGCCCGTTGCGCAAAGATTAACGAGGGGGCGTCTTTGGCCAATGGAAGAGGGGCCGTAGGCTCAGGTACCAAAAATAAATAACATGAAGGTACCGAGGCATAGCAAAGTGGCCAAGGGGCCACGCTCTCAACTACCACTGTTACTATTCACCACAGATGATCGAATGGCGCATTCCAGAGCAGATGTTCTTATCAAATCACTTCATATTCTACTGACACGAGCAATTCATTTCTTTCAGAGGAATTTCGATGCTTTCAGACTTAACCAAAGTGGAAGAAAGTGCTTTGCAGATTGATTCTCAGAGTCCTAATAAAAGTTTTGGCTGAAGAAGGTTTGAGAAGGTTTTCAGGGTCTATTCCAGTCAGAGAGGGGGCATCATGATGCAGTTTTTCCAGAGAGCTAGGGTAACTCCGAGCCAGGGGAGAGTGTAGCCAGTCTACGGGGGGGGGATGAGTGAGGGCAGTCACTTGACATGCGTGAAAAGGCTGGAATGTTCGAGTTCACCGAGAAACTGCATCATGATGCCCCCCCCCTTACTGGAAGGCTTCAGCGTTGGTAGGCTCAGGCATTCATTTCAAAGTCGAAAATTCCGGAAAAAAGAGCATTCCAGGAGCATTTGCTAAAAGTGCTGATCTTATAGGTATCAGTGGTTTTTATCGCTTCTCCCTATACGTGTGTTCAGGAAACTCATTGGCGTTTGAAGATTGAAAGCTCGCGTTCCAGGAGAATGACCTAAAGCCATAGAGGAAAAAATGGAAGAACGGGACTTTTTTTTAAAGAAAGTGACCTTTGGGAGAAGTTTTCATGCTTGTTTGAAAGCGCTAATCTTCTAGTTTCTTGGTAGCCTTAGACATCTACAAAAAGTTATTTATGTAAGAAAGTTGTGAGCGTTTGAATGTTGAAAATTCGCGTGTGCATAAAAAACGGAACAGGGAGATTTTTTGGATTGAACTTTTGCAACAGTTGCAGCTTGTTAAAATTTTGGACTTCTCAAATCTTCGTATCCCGTCATGAGAACGCTACTGGGGTCCGCAACTGCTTCAAGCATAGTTTTTCACTTTATAAAAAAGCGAGTTTTGAAAATTCGAAGAAAAGTCAGCAGTTTTTTGAAAGTGTAGTTCTTTGCGAGTCGAAACATAACTAGATTTTACAAAATGTTGGAGGTTAGCTTTATTGAATGACTAATTTCGCTTTGAGTCCTGCCCTCTGAGCGAGAAAGTGCGCGATGGATGAAATTCCACTGCCCACCACCTCTTTCCTTGTCGATGACGGCCCATACATTGATGATGGTCCGAGAATATGTAAGAAGCCACAATTATTCTATACAGTGAGTTGTACTGATAGCATCTGGAGGGAGACGTAAAAGTTTTGAAATTTGCGCAACGTTCGATTGACTCTGCTCCCTTGCGGCTTATCCCCTCTTCATATAAAGCAGTAGCTTGGGGAGTTTATGTTTTGTGCAGCAGTCAATATCTCGCTAAGTAGATTCAAGAAAACTGTTGATATAGGATCCTGAATGGGTGGGAAGCTGCCCTTAAAACGTGTACAGTTGAGTGCAGGG